AAATTGTTATGTTATTTTACCTTGCTCTTAATTTTTAATTTTTATATAAAGCCTGCAACTAGATCTCAAGGAGAAATCACTTCCACCGTAGACATCCTCCGAGACAATGAAACGTGCTAAAACGTGCATTGATATGCGCTCGAATTAATGGAAAATATGCTAAGTACCAAAATGCCATGCGTAATACGATTTCTTGTGAGTCATTGGAGGGGTGTGCGACAGACCTACCTCCACGTAGTGTTCACTGGGCAACGTACACTCATAAGGCAAAAAGTCCATTAAGTAAAAGTTGACTTCTCACTTCAAACTACCATCGCCCCACTGTATGTCATATTCGACCACTTCCACAGTACGCACCTCACATTTTTTTCTCTTTCTGTGTCTGTCTCTTTTACCTCTTTAAAACACTCTTCTGTTTCCCCTCCCACCCCTCGACTTTTTTTCACTTTGATGTTCCTTCACCCCTCTGTGAAGCCTGAAGTCAACTAAAGGGCTACTGATAATTATCAAAGCACCTGCCATTTGAAATAAATAATGAGGCATCGGAAAGTGAAAGTGGAAGAAATAACCCAAAATATAGCAAATTTTCTCTACATATTAGAATCGATATCATTATCAAATCAGTTAATCCAAAGACCTCGAATTTTTTCCCTTCTTCAACGCATAAATAGTCAAAAATTTAATTTGGAATTGAAAAAAACAGAAATTTTAAATAAAAAAGGAAACAAATATCTAATTTAACAATTTGAAAACACATAGAGTGTAAATTATTAATAAACATTTAAGTAGCTTTAGGATATACCAAACCCCCGCCCCCCTCTAAAGCCCTAGATATCAACAAAAAGTTTGGAAAACTTTGAAGAGTTAATGTTCTACACATTAATGTGGGCTAAAATCTGAAGTCACTTTGATTAAACATAAACGATCTGTTTTCGAATTTACCTACGTATTGGATGATCATATGCAATTATTCAATGAAAATTTTGGCAAAAGAAAAACGATAGAAAGAGAAGTAGAATATTGTGAAATAGCTCTCCATGAAATAAGCTCATAAATCCGAAAAATTTAATTTGGAGTAAATTTGCTCAACGAGGTACAATTTATCAAAATTTAATTTCAAATTGGTATTCAGAAGATGACCGAAGAGATAAATAAATGCAGTAAATTGAAAGATATTAAGATATTTCATCGTTATTACCTTGCATGGTGGCGGACGGTATCTACGAGGACCAATAAGAGATGAAGCGGAGCATCGATCGGAGAAAATCGGGTCACAGAGCACCCGTGCGCCATCGATTTGGAAAAGAACTGATGAATGCCCTAACCAGGTCAAACGAACACCCGATTCCTCAAATTCGTGGTTGAAAAATTTGGGTACGTGAATAGGAAGAGTTGAGTTTAGTGTTGGATCGTTGGGATCTGGTGAGCTATTGGGTTCTCCAGAAGCAAAAGGCATAACTAGACCCGCTTTGATCCGTGTATCTTCCCATGTTGGCCAAGGATTAGCAAATCGACCCCAGTAAGTCTTTTTAACTTGAGTTAGTTTAGTTTCCGCCTCCTGCTAAAAGAAGTAATTTAAATAAAACATTGTAGCTGAAACAGTATTAAAAGATCTTTCACCAGCGCACATTTAAAGAAATCAACAAGCAGATCGACAAGAATGAGAGTGTGTAAGCAGGCATTGTATTAATGCATAAAAGAAAATCCCGCATTTAACATGAAAGTAAATTATGGGGATCGGTTTTAAAAGTTGGCCAAAAGTTTAACCAATTGAATCAGCGAATTTACGACTATTCTCGACTAATTAATTCATAACCTTGAGAAAACGTCCCCTAAATTCAAATAGGTCGAAACATTAAAACAAAACTTTTAAAAATGTATATTCTTTCTATAAAATGTCATCATTTAATGCTTCAACTATTATAGTCCAAAGTATTAAATATATATCATAAAATCCCAATAAGATATAAAATAATTCATATATATTTTTTCTATTTAATGATTAAATTAGTCGAATGTCTACCTGCATTTCATTATGTAATTATGACAAAACCACCGCCGACGAAATGTACTTCCAATTGCTTCTTCTTGATTTATGCTTTTTTTCTTTCGCAAGAGTGAGCGACCTCGTTAATCGTTTACAAACTTATATATTATGCGAGCGCGACACTCCCCATTGGCGTTCAGAAAAACCAGGTGCATCATCAAAGGTAAATTTATGATCTCACTTGCAGACATTCTATAAGTTACGCGATCCCCTTAAGGTAGCCTCTGTCGGCGTCAGCGAAATTCCCAAAGCGAAAATGATAAACACTAAGTAATTGTTACTGTCTAGTGATTTGTTCAAATTTCGAAAGGCGAATCATCAGGCGTACATTGCTCATGATCACTTAATTGAGAAGAAAGAGAAGGGGAAATGAAGAAATTACGGCGCTAAAATTACAACACATTCGACATGTTTTAGACACGATGAAAAAGCGATAGTCTAACTTCAGGGATCGAGCTGTCTGTAGGCATCGGTCGGTCGAAGAGACGTCAAATTTGGCCTGAAATTCTTCAAAAGTTTCCATGTTGCATCTACAACAATGAAGGTAATTTAAACACACGATTAATTCTTAGTCAAGCTCATCAAGACACAAACAACACCAGAATAGAGAGAGGGCACCTTAAAAGCATTTTTTGACATATACGATGGAACGTCAATCTCACGATTTATGGCCATGGGTACTATTCTATGAAGTATTATTTTTGGACGTATGGGTGTGCGATAGACTTATTTCCACGTGGTGCGCCCTGGGCAATGTATACACATACAGCAAAAAGTCTATGACTTGGCAGTTGACTTCTGACTTCAAACTACCATCACCCCACTGTGTGTCATGTTCGACCCCTTCACAGTACTCATCTAGCCTTTTCTCTACCTTTGTGTCTGTCTGCCTCTTTTACATCTGTGATTCGCTCTTTTGTTCCCCCCCCCCC